CGCCAGAAACGCCCGGATTTGTGGAAGAACAAAAATTGACTTTTGCACCATGATAACGCCTCTATTCACACGTCGTTGCTTGAGCGCGAATATTTGACCATAAACAATACACTTATAATGCCGCAGCTACCGCATTCTCCAGATCTGGCCCCATGTGACTTTTTCTGAAACTGAAGGGGCCCATGAAAGGACGACGGTACGCTACAATTGAGGAGATAAAGACGGCACCGAAGGAGGAGCTGAACAAGATCACAAAAAATGATTTTTTGATGTACTTCGAGGTTTGGAAAAAACGTTGGCACAAGTGTATAATATCTGCTGAGGATTACATTGAAGGGGGCAAAATAGATATTCATGATTAAATAAATAATTTTTGAAAAAAAAATAAAATTCGCGATACCTTTTGAACAGACTTCGTATATTATCAAGGCTTTCTTTTAAGATTTATAAGGTATAAGTCAGTTTATTTTATAAATTTTTATTTAGTTGCTGATATTACTACTGAAAAGTCGACTAGTCTAAACCTTAGTGACGCACGACAGTGACATCGTCGCAACAAGCATTTACAAATCAAGTGCTATTCGAAATTCGTTCAAAGCTTATATCATACATTCAAGCTGAAGTTTAAAGTGAAAAGTGATTACAGTAAAAGAGAAATTCTTGCTTTACAAACATAAAACCGTATCACAAGGAAGACGATCATGTAAAAGCTTTTCTCAGTTGAAATATAGACGTGACAGATACAGTATTAGTTGACAATTTTCATTTAAAGTGTACCTATCTTACGTTTTATCATTGGTTTTTTATCTTTGTCACGTTACGTTACAACAGTCAGTTTTACGAAGCAATTCAGAAAAAGTGACTATGAAAGATAACGTTGAATAAAAAAATAATTGCACCTACATTTCTGCCCCCCTCTGTTTTAACCATTGTTTGAAATCCAGTATAAGAAGTTTAAGTTATATAAGTTTTAAAACTCCTTTTTGACCTATGAAAATGGTCTCTAACTCGTCCATTTGAGCAAGTATTAACCACCATTACCCTGAATTTTAACTTCGTACCATTAAACAATCTTTTAAATAAAGAGTTACTAGATCCTCAGATACTCCAAAGCTCATTAAAGTACGTCAGCCATGTTCTCGCAACAGATGAAAAAATATATGTACGTACTTACTAGTTGAACCCTCTTTCCAAATTTGGACGTACCGTTGCCGATAGTGAATAGCACTTACATTTTAATCAAGGCTTTGCCCCATACCATAACTTTATCTAAGCCCTTGCTCCAATGATACTCTAAACGCCAAACTTTATTAAAGTTTAGAATTGTTTAGTTCCACCTCGAGTGCGTTAAAATTAGAGATTTTCAAACAAAATTTTGATTAAAGGATAGCATTCTACATGTCGAAAGTAAGCTTAGGAAGCCTTTTATCTATTTATTAAATATTTTAATCGTCAGCGAATTTGAGAATGTCCTATCAACCCCTGTTTCAGTAACAACGATTTAGGTTACTTTTTTTTATTTTAAAATATAAAATATAA